CCGAGGTTGTTCGATGCCGTGCTGGGCTATGCTGGGCCGTAATTGGGCCATTACGTTTCAGCCAGTTTGAAAAACAGGGACCTTTGTCGACTCAAGCTACAAGGCATCTTAAGAATTTTAGATCCATCGGTGAAGCAAATGTCCATGAATTTTAAGTACTTTTGAATTGTGATTTGTGATTTGTCAAAATATCATTACAGAATGTTTGCTCATCACAAGGGCATACACCGTGGTTCGTGTGATCTTTCTGCCTGCAAGGCATTGCTGTAGGCTGTAGCAGACTAGCAGTTCCTTGTGGCGGCTGCACAGCAATCACTGACGAGCAGGTCTGTTCTTCCTCCCGTCACCTGTTTGTTTATTTTATAATCCGTTTTTTAGTTTATTTTTTTAGTCGGAACATTATTTTTCTTTCACAATAAATCAGTCGAAACAATATTGACTTGTTTTGGCCAGAACAGTATTTTTCTCGAGCAACGAATCAGCCAGAATACAGTGTTTTAGCTTTTTTTTTCCGCGAACCTAACGGGCCCAATGATACCTTCGGTTAATGAATCACTGACACCACTATCTAGAAACAGAAGACCTGCTAAACTCACAAAAGTGGCACAGATATATTGACACTGTATCTGTAAAGAGTCAGATTCACTATTATGTCAATCAGCAAAGAGCGGATCCTAAGACTGGGGCGACAATTCCAAATCATCATCCTCTAATAAAGACTGGATACAGCAAAGATGAGAAAAAGAGCAGAAACATAAACTGAAAAAGGAGATGACGAAGTGGCGAACTCATGGACAGTGGAGTCAGATTTGATAACAATGTCAATCAGCACAGGTCCGGAAGTCCGGATCCTAAGACTGGGGCGACAAAACCATATCATCATCCTCCGACGCAGCCATCGACACCGACGAATCAAAATCAACAGCGCTGTTCCGACGAAATGACCCCACAAAAACCAAAGAAAACACGCTGACGCAGTGAAAGAACGGCGAGAAAACATGAGAAATGAGAAACGAGCACGATAGACGAATGCGGAACAATTTGGCGGCGGCGCTGCGGCTGTATTTATCGTGGATGCAGAAGGTCAATTAGGGTTTCCGGTGGGCCTTGGGGTGATTATGGGCCTTTTCTCGAAGGCACGGAAGAGCAGCAACTTACAGCTAGCTCTGGGCCGTATTTTAGGCCTAGAACGAAACTGTCGGCCATTTCGAGCTCTTTCACACGTAGGCCTCCAATCTAAAACTAGATGTAGGGCTTTCCGCTTCTCCCAGACACGCTTGGATTATAATCTAAACGAAGATTTTCTCGCTTCTCGCTTTTCGCTTCTCATAGTTCAAATCTCTGAAGCGGCTTACCACATAAGCGAGAATCGGTGAAAATAAGCAAAGCGTTTGGCGGGATTCTTGCTTATTTCCACCGATAAGCCGCTTATAAGCGGAAACAAACAGGGCCGTATTTCTTATAAAATAAACTAAAAGTAGATATGCTTGTACTGCATGCACCTCTAAGGGCCTGTTTGGTTCGTTGCCCAGTGCAGCCTAGCTGGCTAGCTCGCACGGAGCCAGCCAGGCCAGCTTTGGCCAGACCTTGTGCGTGCGACGGCACCTTGTTTGGTTACCTGGGTCATTACAGTCAGGCCAGCAGCAGCTTCTCTTTGGTTCACCGCGTCCACGTATCTCTATCTCACACGCCGTGCGCCATTCCACGCTCGCTCGCACGAGGTGAGCCAGGCCCGACAGAAACGGCCGATTTCTGCCTTTCTGCAGAGCCTGGCCGCGGGGGGCTTCCTCCACTCGTGGAGCCTGGCCCGACAGATACGCGAAGCAAACCGTAGAATCTAAAAGAGGATGAATAGCCTGTTTAAATAAAACTTGAGCAAACGTTAAATTTAACTTGTGGTACTGTCGTACCTATAGACAATTTCGAACCACAGTTCCAAAACTATGACTTAAAACTTAGATCGGAGAAATTAATGAACTTCCCGCAAGGGCATAGTTCACACATCGACAACTAGAAGTTGTAGGAGAAGCACGTACAAGTAGATCGACACCAAACCATAGAAATCACCTCAACAACAATATGAATCACAAGAAAGTAAAACAAGCACAAGGTGACACGATGATTTATCTTGTGGTTCAGCTCGCTACCAAGGCTTACCTAAGTCCATATTGTTGAGGTTAGCCACTAAGACTTAGGACTTTGCAACCCTTCCTAGTCCTCAAGTCAAGAGACTCAACTCTTGAGATAAGGGATGAGTTTACTATCTTGAAGAGATGGTCACAAACCTCTTGGGGCTGGCAAGCTCCACGGGCGACGCTCTAGCCGACTAGAAGCCAAGCTCCAAGAGTAATAAACACAAGTGCCGGTCAAAACGTGAATCAAGTGCTCTTTTGAGTTGGGGAACAAGTGGATCTGCTCTCTAATCGAGTTTGGGACATTTTTCTCTCAAGGATTGTTAGGGAAATCAAAAGAAAAATCTTGAGAGCTTGAGGGCACCAATGAAGAAGAGAGAGAATGAACTCAGAGCTGTTGGTGTCGGTCTGAACAGTTGAAGAAAGCAGCGAGCCGTTGTGAGGGTGAGGAAGAGGTATAAATACCTCCCTAACACCCAACAGTCAAATAAGTTGTGGTAGTGCCGCGGCTTAACTGCGACAGTGCCTCTCTTCAGGTGCGGCACTGCCGCACCCAGCCAAAATAGCAAAGGGGTAAAGCAGTGTTGAGCTGGCTTTCTTGGCTAGAATTGAAGATGTTTTGTGTAAGATTGAGCACTTGGTTGCATATGTTAGCTTAAGCATTGTGTTCCCCCTTTATAGTACGGTTTTTCTATACTCAAATTCGAAATGTAAAATGAAATAAACCTCCTTTGAGCTCGTTGCCATCACCTTTTGAAATTGGGAGCTCCTCCGTTATGTATAACATCCTCATTTATGAATCTCCTGCTTGTCATCTCGATAAATCTTATTTGTTCTCTAATTGCATGATCATTATCATCAAAACCCACAATTAGAGTTTGATTGCATTTACACAAACAAATGTTTGTTCTTGCACGCGCAGAGCCTAGCCGAGGAGAGTGCAGGCAACCAAACGCACCCAGGATAAACTCCGGTGACTTTTCTAGTTCAAACAAATATAATCTATGGTGATTTTATAGTCTACTAGTTAAAAAAAAAGTAATTTCCTACAAGAAAAAATCTGTGTTTGCTCACCAAAATACTAGTTTTCAACCTGTAGCTTTCGACACCATTAGTTATACGGTAATTCTTGGGTCAGGACGTCCATCCGTCGGACTGCTTGCTAGGCCTACGAATTGGCCCAAGCAACCTGCCTGTGGCAAATGTCACACATGGCCCTATCTCTACCATACACCGCTTCTCCCTTCACAGTCTTGCAGTCACGGACTCCCAGCCTCCCGCGTCCAAACCCGCACTCATAGGCCTCCCACGCGGTCTCACCTCCAACAATGATGCCCGCGGCGCGTGCCCGTGTTTGCCCAGCTCCTCCTACTCATCCTGCTTCCTTCTCCTCCCCGCACCGCACGCATCCGCCCGTCGTGACTCGCTCTACTAAGACGACGAGCCTCTATGACGAATCCTCCAACAAGCAGGCGAGGAGAGGAGCTTCATGTGACGCGGCCTCGCCAACGAGTTACCCGCACCACTGTCGCACCGCGCGAGCTCCGTGCCACCACGAGCTCCATGCGCCGTAGCCGACCTCCGTGCCGGCGTTGAGCTCCGCAACGACAAGCCTCCATTTGTCCAAGTAGCAAGGTGACATTGCGCTGAAAAGCGCATATTGGAAGCATATCTTTCAAGTGTTTCAGAGATATGTTACAAGTGGTTTATATCGATATTGCAACATTAGATTGGGATGTTGCACATGTTGCAATAGCTATGAACGCATGTTTTAAGTGTATGTTCAAAATGTTTTATCTGTTTCAAACGTACTCCGTCCGTCCATAAAAGTGCAATTACGGTATCCGTGTCGGTCAACTGAGCTCAAATTTGATCAAGTTTATAGTAAATAGTATTAGCATTTATGTCTCTAAATAAATTTATTATGAAAATATATTCTATAACTAATCTAATGGTACTTATTTTGTATCAAGAATGTTAGTTTTTTATATAAATTTAGTCAAAGTTCATACTGTTTGACTCCTCGAAATCTGAGAATTGCATTCTTTTGTGGACGGATATAGTATGTTATAAGTGTTTCATTTTGGATGTTGCAAAACTAGATCGGCATTTTGCAGATATATACAAGTGTTTTCATGTGTTTTCATACGTATGTTGCAAGTATTTTATCTTGATATTTGTATATGTTTGCAATGGCTACATACATGTTTTCGAGTTTTTTTCCTAGTGTTTTGTAAGTATTTCAGATGTATGTTGTAAATATTTTAGTTGTTTTGGACTTATGTTGCAAATATTTCATCCGGATATTGTAAAAATAAATTGGGCGTTGCAAATGTTACAGTACACGTGATAAACGAAGATGGTGTGAGCGGTCCCCACGCGTCTGACGGTGCAAGCCACATCCGGGCAGCACGGGTGGGGACATGCTGGCTCGAGTGCGGGCGTAAGAGTGCAAGCGCGCGTGAGGGAACCGGAGTGCAGCGCGGGCGTGCAGACGTCCGGCGCTAGCACTGTACCACTGTCCACACACACCACGTGTTGCTGAAGCGTGCAGCTCAGAGCAAATACTCCTATGTAGTAATGAACCTGGTACACTCGTAATCATACAGTATAATATACATGTATGTACACAAAGACACGACTTGCCACTCGGTGCTTACAGTTGGAGGAAGAAATGCCATGTCTCATGAGCTACGAGTCGTGACTACTTACCAAATAATGTCAATGCATATGTACAGGCTAGTTATTCAAATCAAATGGCTACCTCATGGCCAGGCCGACAGGACACTCGCCATGAAAACGGCGGTTGAATTCCTCCGATCGGGCGCAAACCGCTATATGTAATACAAAGCAGGGCTCGGCCCTCGATCAGTCCGTCGTCGCTGTCTGCTCCTGGAGCAGCTCACGCTCCTTGTCCAGCATCTCCCTGAACTCCTCGTCGGTGGCCTTGAGCATGTCCGGCAGCGGCAGCGCGACGCCGGCGTCCTCCGCGGCGCGGTGGCGCGGCGCGATCCGCTTCTCGAGGCTGAAGGCGAAGTACTGCGGGAAGGCCTTGACGTCCTCGACGCCGCCGCCCATGGCGTCCACCAGGTACTCGAACTTGGGCCTGTAGTTCCGCTCGATGCTGAAGGTGAAGAGCGCCGGGCACCGCAGCACCATGGCGACGGCGTCGTCCCGCGACATGCCCAGCCCGGCCAGGAACTCCAGCTTCGGCGCCAGGGTGCGCTCCACGCTGGAGACGAGGAGGATCGGGTCCTGCAGCGCCAGCGCGCGGCTGTCCCGGAACCCCAGGCGGCGGAGGTAGATGAGCGCCGGGCGGAGCTGGTCGCGGACGCTGCACGCCAGCACGCGCGGGCACTTGATCACCACGCGCCGGTGCGCCGACTCCGGGACGCCCAGGTCCTCGGAGAGGAAAGCGAAGACGGGGCGGAGGTCGGCGCGGACGCTGGCGGTGAGCACGGACGGGCACATGCCGAAGACGCGGCCTAGGTCCTTGAACTGCAGCCCGCGCGACTGGAGGAACGACACCACCGCGTGGATGGACTCCGGCGCCGCGTCGCGGAGCGCCGGGTTCAGCTCCAGCGCGCCCCCGTAGTCCACGCCCATCAGCTCCAGGCTCAGGATCTTGTCCTTCACCTGCGACGGCAGCTCCGGCAGGTGCAGCGACAGCGATGGGCTCGCTGTGGGCACGGCCGTCGTTACTGTCGCCGTCGCCGCCGCCGCACTGCGCATCGGCACAGTTGTAGCCACGGAGGCCGCCGCCGTGGAGGGGGACTTGGAGGAGGCGACGGACTGCTGGGGCTTGACGACGGGGACGGACGTGGAGGCGTAGAAGCTGCAGAGCGGCATGCCGGGCTCCTCGTCCCTTCCCTTTTCTGATTGATCTGGAGAAAGCTTGAAGACGGAGGGAAGGGGAAAGACGGAGAGGATACAAGCAGCAGGAGTGAAGTGGAGTGGCATCTCATCCGCTTCTTTATCTTGTCGTTGCTGATGACCTGGCACTCTGGGTGGTGCTCATTGGCTGCTGAGATTTGACAAGGGTGATCGCCTCTCATATAGCACCCCGCGCAAAGAAACAGGCAGCCAAACACAAAGAAACAGAAAAAAAAATCTGAACATAACCATAACACCAGATGAGAGGTACATGGACGCAATAACAACAGTGATAAAGATGTGACTATGAAGTTTATATAAGCTCGCCATACAGTATCTAGTTCACTTGAACATGTTCCTGTCAAATGAAGACTGTTGAATCAACGAAAGGGCGGACCCAGTGCCGGAGGCTCCCACATGAGTGGGGTGGAAGGGAGGCAATCCTTCCCTGCTTCGAACCCGCGTCCTGATGACTCAATGAGACAGCTCTCACCACTGCACCAGCCTACCCTTCACCGTTGAATCAACCCTTTTGGAATATAAATACATATATATGATATATCAATACGCAACAACAGAAACCACTATAAGGTCACACCCACGGGGTGACAACGATCTATTGACACTATCTTAAATGGAGTATTATTTCGTTTCTCCTGTTACACCAATCTGGAACTTCTGGAATGTTACTTCTGTCTAAGGAACACTTAAGGTACAGGAGTTCCGATCAGCACTTCCCAAAGCTTCTGCTCACAGAAGGCCGTCTCCCTACCTTGCGGTTATGAGTTATTTGGTCATCCTGCAACACATCAAGTAGAGTTCCATAATGATAGTAAATTAGTAATGGAGTTCAGAGGGTGCATTATTTATGGTCAACCAAATATCACAATTCAATAATGGATTCTTGAACGAGCCTTTGGTCACACCATAATATAGAATGTTGATCTAAGTTCTCAATGCGGTAAGTTATTCCTACAGATTTTCTAGACATGATCGCATTACTAGATGAGCAAGCTTTATTACCATATATAATGAAGCTGCAGAATCAGATTGCATTATTTGATTTTGAGCTTGACCAAGTGATTGGTACGTGTCAACTGCGTCTATTGTTAACTGCCAACCAGAGGGCGCTGAACTACTTGAGCTGGAGCCAATGTTGCTACAGCAAGCCGCTGCAACATTTCCGTTCACCCATGGGCAGTAACTATTGTGATGCTTAACAGGATCAAATTCCAGCAGACCTGACTCATAGTCATTTTCTCCGTTAGTAGCTCCTGAGAAGAAAATAACAAAGTATTATACAAGCAGAAGACATAAAACTGAGCATAATCAGGAATTAAATGAAGTTCATCATCATCATCACCACCACCACAAACAACAACAACAAAGCATTTTGTCCCAAAGTAGGGTAGGCTAGAGATGAAAGAAACCTAGCATGAACCACCACCAAGAAGGGGAAAAAACTTACATAAAGATGAAGGTCTAAGAATAAAACGAATAGATATATGGTTAGGGGTGTTCATGGTATTGGATCATGTCCACTTCATTTTATGTATGAATGCTCAGATATGAAAGAAACCCAAGCTAGTCATTTTGATATTAGGGTATATCACACGGCAACTTCCAACTTCACTAAAAGAATGCTCAGAGAGTATCCCCTACCAAATGAAGAATAACTGATTAATAGAGTAAATGCCAACATGGAACCATGGAAAATAATGCAAACGATACAGTACAGGAAAACCAATGCGTTATATCTAGCAAAGGCTTGAACGAAAGTACCTAATCCATTCCCAGGATCATAATCTAACCCCATTAACGCATCATCAGTAGTAAGTATTTTGCCAGTTTGTGTCACATCATCTTTAGACAGATCAAAACTGGCACACATCCCTGCGTTGCAAGAAAGGGAAGGACGCATGCTGCTTCCGTTACCGGTGGCATGACCTATCTTTTCTCCACTTTCAACAGAATCAGCTTTGGTATAGACATATATTTTTGATCCACTGTCAGCTTGGCCGACTGACCGAGACACCGTATCTTGGCTGTCTCCATGAGGTTCTTCTCGATCTACTTCAGGTACAAATTCATCCATTAATCCAGGTCCTGGAGCTGATTCACCAGTCTGACCCATTGTCTCAGTAAGCTCGGCAATAGGTTCGGCATCACCTACAACACTCTCAGCTCTGTGCAGAGAAGCAGCATTTCCATGAATTTCAGCCTCATGACTAGCTCCCATGCCAACACTGCCACCACTAATTCCTAAACTAAGTTGATCCCTTCCGAACGCAGGAGCTGTTTCAGCATTAATGACCTCTTCCCCTTCATTTGTACTGCTTCCTCCTATTTCTCTTGCATTGCTTCCAGCACCAGCATGTGCATTGGCACTTTGCTGTGCTTGGTTGCTATAGTTGAGATCCAAGGCATCATTCATTTCAATGTTCCTTTGTGCACTAGAAGAAGGCATATCGATATCATTACCATCACCTGGATAATACTCAACACTCTCCATAGAATCTTCCTCGGAAGTATGAATAGTATGCATTGCAATGACAGAAGATGCTCTCAGAGAATCCCTAGCAGTCGGACGCTCAACAGCTGCCAGGTCAATTGCTCTTGAGTGACTGAACATACCAGCATCTGGATCAGGGTCAAAGGACAAGTTTCTACTGGGACCAGCTCCAGAAGAAGGACGATAGGCATCAAACAGATCAAACCCACGGGACTTCTTATTCGGGACATCTGAATCTTGTGCAGCATCATCATCAACTTCCTCACCATCACGATCAATGAAATTTCCTTCTATGCTATCAGCATGCTGCAGCCTATCTTGTGGATTGTCAGCTGTGCTCCCACCTTCCTCAAGGTTACGCTTCCTTGAACTCGGACCACGAGACTCATATGAGGTTTCACAATCACCTACTTCACTGCCTGTAGGCTGTCCAATCATCAGGTCCCTTCCCATACCTCCATTATTGAACCGCTCCGACATAGCAGGCATGGCAGATTGAGGTGATGGTAATCCTCCAGCCATTGTTAGGTTTAGGTCTACTCCAACAAGTGATAGTGGTTTTCCCTCATCTGTTGCTGCTTCATCACGCCCTTCATCTTGACCTCTGTCCACCCCATCAGTAACCCACTCATTGATACCACTGGCGGCACTAACTCCATGTGTCAGTGTTAACTTTCTGCCTGTTTCAGGCACATCAATGTTATTCGGACTGAAACGAGAAGGACGTAATACAGGTCTAAAGTCCCGCATCCTGACTGTAGCTCCACACAGGTTACAATCTAACAACGGTGACCTCATGCTGCATCCAGAATCTCCAACGGGCAATTTGCCTTTCCCCTTATCTTTCTTGGCTGATGCAGAAAATGAATTTTTGTTATGTTCAACAAAATGGGGATAGAACCGTTCGTCAGGCCCAACTGAGGGTGCATTTTTAGCTGAATGCGTTGAATTTTCTTCACAGTCTTGAACGTTTGGAAGCCACCTAGGCTCCCATCCACACAGGCTTATGAGCTTCTGTGCCTACAAACTCATTGATAAAAGCACCTAAATTAAAGAAAGACCCAGAAACTGGAGGCAATGCAAAATAATAGCGTGTTAGCGCCAATAAAAAAATGTGTACATGAAAAGAGATCAGCATACTTGAGAGTAGCTACAAGAGAAATCTTGGTGGATATCAATTCCTGCTGTACTCTCTGCTCTGCAGCCCAGAATACCAGATAAAAAGGTAATTGACTGGGACAACAGACGATCAATTTGTGCGCTCCTGGTAAGCTTCATGTTCTCAATTGCAGATGGTGCAATCACAGGAAGAGAGGTAAACTGTAAAAGCCCATCGCAGCGATCTTTAAAACCTCCAATAAGAGCTGATTGTGTAAGATGAAGCTGGACCAAGCTGTCAGCACAGTTATTGCCTCTCCAGGGACAACTATTCTGGTGTGCTGCATCAAGCTGCTCGGCAAAGGATTCTCCAGCATTTGCAACTAATAGAAGATACAAAGAAAGGTTTCACAGCTGAACAAAATTCAGTTTGCAAACAAAGATGTGCCAATCTATTTCCAGCCTAGCACAACAGTAAGACAAAAGTAATAACAGTCATGAGATTGCACATTGCAGATAGTTTTTCTTTTGAGTCATGTCAGATGTTACTTTACTTGACCAATAATTCAAACCATTGGATATCCATACATTTTTATGTGAGACCCAAAATCTCTAACTATGGTTCGATGACAAAGGTGCATTCGTTGCTGCTACCAGAATCCTAAACATTTGGAGTTTCTGATGCAAGGACCCCATCGTCAACGACCACGACAACGCAACAAGGCAGCGACCTCACAACCTCGCTGCTGAACGTCGCTTCCGCGCGGGACGGGTCTACTACAGGCGGCCTGCGGTCCACACCCCACAACGCAAACAGGCGCAACCTGCGCAAACGGCGGGAAGCACCCAGGTGCTGCGGTTCCGCCCCGGGCTCGTCTACTCCAGACGCGGCGCAAGCGAAACGGTCGCCAACCGCCAGCGCCGTCGCAGAGTTACAGAGGGACTCCAGCAGCACCATCCAGGGCACAACAGCCTCTCCCACGCCGGCACGCCAGAGGTACTGGAGACCGCTGGACAGAACTCAACGACCGCAGCAGAGGGGGTGTCGAACTTCCTAAAGGGGATCTCAATACCTTTGCCTCAACCAATCTTGCAGGGTCCCGTGCGCCAGCCCAACCCCCCACAGACACGCAACAGGGGAGCGATCCCGGTGCGCAGGAGCGTGCGCATTGCGGCTGCGAACTGGCCGAGGGGGGACACTCAGGCGAGGGCCAGGCAGGTCCTGATGAAAAAGCTCGGCATCCTCGACGCCAAAGGTCTCAGCCACGACGAGGCGATGCTGCGTTACTTCGACCTGTTCAAGGGGCCGCTCACCGACGACGCCGTCAAGGCGCTGACGGCCTTGTGTGGCCTCGACGCGGCGACATCGCTCACCGCCACGATCGCCTAGATACCTGCTGAAGCTAAGGGGTAGATCTTTTGGTTTATGTTAATAATCTTTCAACGCTACGGAAACTCGGAGACCTCCACATCTTTT